ACTTCTTCACCTGTCCATCCAGCCACTCATTCAGCTATCCATGCATCCATCCACCCACCCACCCACCCACCCACTCAGCCACCCATCCACCTATCTGCCTAGCTACTCAACCATGTAGTCTGGATCCTCTAGCAAGTGCATGTACCCTCTTGTCTGGATCCTCAGTCCCTGGCACAGGTCTGGGTATGCAGTAGCTACACAATAAGCGCACTTGAGTAGCTGGAAGAGGGTAGGGATAGAGAGAGTGTGTCTTGCTGTTTCTGGCCCCCAGACTTTTTTTTATACAAGCTGCTCTTCTCTCTCGCTGTCTATCCGTGTTTCCTTCTGGTTTAATGTGACTCAGGGTACCAGACATCATGATATCTCCTTCAGAAAGCCTCACCTGATCCCACTCCACCTGGGTTGGGGATCTCCTATACACTGACCCCTCTTTTCACAACTGCTAGACTGAGAACTCTGTGAGGGTGGGGGCTGGTGCATCGTCATCACTGTTGTGTCCCTGGGGTCTCCCTCGCTCAGGGCCTGGCGGGGAGTGGGTACTCAATACATATTTGTTGAGTGAATGAATGAGTGTGTGAGGGAGTGGAAAGGCAGGTGATGAATGGATGGGTAGATGGATGGATTGATGAGGGGATGGATTGACGAATGACATGGCAATGGATGGATGGATGGACGGACACATTGATGAATGGACGTATTGATGGATGGACAGATAGACAGTCAAATGATGGATAGGGGGTGGATGAATGGCTTATGGATGGATGGGCGGATGGCTTTGTTGATGGATGGACGGACGGTCTAGTGATGGATAGAGGAATGGACGGATGGGTAGATAGATAAAGGGTGGACGGGTGGAGGGATAGATGGCCAGGTTGATGGATGGAAAGAGAGACTGACAAATGATGGATTGCGAGAGGAATGGCTGAATGGCTGACTGGCTGGATAGGTGGCTGCAGAGCCCGCTGAGCACCGACTGATCCTCCCCTCTCTCCTCCCCGCACCCCGATCCGGGCAGATGATGAGCGCATGTTGGTGGAACCTGCCTGCGGGGCAGCCTTGGCTGCCGTCTACTCAGGCCTCCTGGGCAGGCTCCAGGCCGAGGGCCATCTGAGCCCGTCCCTGTCATCGGTTGTGGTCATCGTGTGTGGGGGCAACAGCATCGACAGCCAGGAGCTGCAGGCGCTGAAAGCCATGGTCAGTCACAGCTGAGGGAGTCTCAACCCAGAAGGACTGGCCAGGCCCTGAGACCTCTGAGAGGCCCATGACCATCCTTGCGGCTGACCGAAGAGGGCCTCTGTGTAGCGGTTGGCGCTGGAAGCTGCCCTGGGTTTCCATGCTGGCTGCCCCTGCAGGAAGCCCTCCTGAAACTCTTCCTTTGGCTCCCATGTAGTCCTGGCCAATAAATTCTTTCTGAGTGGAGTCTGTAATTGCCATAGTCCTGTCCTGTCTTTCCACCTCTGGGTGCTCATGGGTGGCACATGACAATCTGGAAGCTAGTTCGGTGACAAAATAACCGAGTCCCTTTGAGCTTGGTTAGCAAAGCCAAAGCTCAGGTCTCTGAAGGAAATCCACCCTGCTGAAAGGGAGTTCCTTACCTGAAGGGGCAGCTCTGGCTGAGCAGGCCAGGAAGGAGAGGGGACCTCCTGTCCCTTCTTGGGCCCGTGTGGAGGGGACAGCATCAGTAGTCCTCGCCGTGCTCAAACTCCTCCAAGAACTTCCTATTCGTTGTTTTCTTTAATATTCACAAAGTCACTATGGAGGAGAAGCTGCTGTCACGACCTCTGTCCCCAGATGGGGACACTGAAACAAGGGAAGGTTGGGTCACTTACCTGAGGTTACTCTATATTGCCTGGGTCACAACTTCCCATGTGGTGGTAGGTGGAGGGAGGATGTTGGGGAAAGAGGCAGGACCCCCCAGGTTGGTCAGGGTGCACCACGGGGAGGGCCTGGAACCAGGCCCCACCAGCCCTGGGAAATCTCTCTTAGGAAATGGGATGGAAAATTAGACTCTTTCACAGCCACAAGGGGGCAGCAAAGCGTCTCCTATGGGAAGTCTGGCTCCAGGCTGGCGTCCTTCCGGGTGTTTCTTGCTTCTCTACTCCTTGAGGGGGCCCTCACCCCAGCTGGGGGTGCCAAGGCCCCAGAGGTGGCTGCTGCCCACACAGACTTGGCATGGAAAAACCCCTTCCAATCTCACACAGCGGCCAGGAAACCGAGCTGAGTGGCACCCAGTGTCACAGCCCTCACAGAGGCCCCCTTCCCTGCCTCCTGTGGGCTGTGTGACCTTGGGCAAGTCGCCGCCCCTCTCTGGATCTCAGGCTGTACTTCAGTGCCGAAGGAGACCTGTGGCAACCTCCCACTTCCTGTCTTTGTCGGGGCTGTTTCTCAAGAGCAGAATTTGAGACCCTGGTGACCTCTCTCTGTGTCCCCGGTCTTCTCTCACTAACCCCAGACATGGCCCTTCATTGCTGGGGCTGCCCATCTGGAAAACATGGGGACCCAGTTCTTATTCCTTAGAGTCACACCTGTGTGTCCCCAGAACAGAGGAGACAGCCAGGGTCCCAGAGTCGGTCACAGCCAGCCCTGACCCTGGGCATTGTTCCTACTCGCTAGCCCGGTGACCTGAATTGGTGCTCTCACCTGCAAACAGGGTGTTTGAGGATTATGATGATTATTTAAGTTTACTTATTTATAGCTTCTATGAGAGAGAGAGGACAGAGACAGCTCCCTGAAAACCCTTCACGCTGCCATCCTACCCCAGGCCTCAGCCAGCAAGGGTCACGAGCCTCGCACATTCCCAGGTGTGCACAGGGAGGCCCCAGACTCCAACCTAGGACCTTCCCACATGGCCTCAGTATTGCAGAGTATTGCATTATTTTTTTAAGAATTATTTTATTTTGGGATCAGCAGGTGGCGTGGTGGTTAAGGTGCTGGACACTCCCATATGGCTGACCATGGTTTGAGTCCCGGACCTGGCAGCTTGCTTTCTCAATCTTTCTCTCTCTCTGTCTCTCTCTGGTCAAATTAAAATAAATGAATGAATAAATAAAATAAGTAATTATATTTTAAAAAAGAATTATCTTATTTAAATTAATTACTTATTTATTTTTAATTTGACCAGAGGGGGACAGAGCAAGAGAGAGGGAAGGTGAGAAAGCAAACCGCTAGGTCAGGGACTTGAACCAAGGTCGGCCATGTGAGAGTTCAGCGCCATTAACCACCACACCACCTGCTGGCCCCCGGGAGTGTTGCATTATTATGGACCTGACATAGGTAGTCTTTGTCTCTTTTTCTTTCCTTTTTAATTGGTGCTGGGAGCAGAGTAACAGGAGTCCACAATGGCGATGTAGAACATGCCTCAGAGGCGAATCCAGTTGGCCAGAGGCTTCATGTGTCTCAAGTTTCGTTTATTGCTTTCTTTCCCCCCTTCACCGGACAGAGAGAAAGGGAGGCGGTCCACCCCCAATGGGGCGTCGCCACAGCCAAATCCCTTCTCCTGTCTCTCCCTGCTTTCAGTTTAGGGCGTGCACACGCATGCCTGGCATGTCACTCAGGCCGCCGGTTGGCTCAGCCATGCGCGATCTGGCTTCCTTAACCACCAAGCCACAGACAGCCTTCTCCCTCCCTCCCCCTCCCCGCCTGCCTTCGCTTCTTTGCCGGAGAACATGTGCATGTGCCTTAGAGAGACAGAGAGAGGGAGAGGAAGAAAGCACCCTCCCAAGGGGGCGTGCTCACACCACATCCCTCCTCCTCCATTTTCCATCTCGTTGGGATTTGGGCGTGCGCACACATGTGCCCAGTGTGTTTTCCAAGTCACCGGGGCTGGGATTCGAACCACACAGTCAGCCATGTGGGATCTGGCTTCCTTAACTACGGGCTCCCAGGGCTGGCCCTCTAGGTTTTCTATAAAGTTCATTCTTACTATGTCCTGAGCATTCCTCTCCCACCACGAGGGGTGAGGGGACTAGAATTCATTCAGGTGTTGAGCACCCACAGGGTGTGACTGGTCGGAGCAGTGTTTTTGATTAATCTCCCATGGTAGCTACTATTATCTGTCCTCTTTTTTTTAAACAAATATTTTATTTAATTTTATTTCTTCTTCAGTTCAACCAGAGAGAGACACAGAGAGAGAGAGAGAGTGGAGAGAGAAAGCAAGTCACCAGGCCCGAGACTCGAACTGGAGTGGACCACGTGGGTGTCCAGCGCCTTAACCACCACACGACCTGCCAACCCCTGCCCTCTTATATTTTTTTAAAGAATTATTTAATTTAATTTATTATTATTATTATTTTAGAGATTTTTGCTATAGGGTGCGTGCGCTTGCCAGAAAGACATACAGAAAGCAAGAAATCATCCTCCAGGGGGCATGGCCATGCCACAGTCCCTTCTCCTCCATTCTCCTCTAGGATCTTGGGCCCTCACACACACACACACACACACGCTCGGGTCCGGGACTCAAACTGCGGTTGACTACATGGGAGTCCAGCGACATAGCCATTACACTAACTGCTGGTCCCTTATGATCATTGTTATTATTTAATTTGCTACAGGGCATGCATGCTCACCAGAGAGAGACAGAGAGGAGAGAGAGAAGGAAAGTGAGAAAGCAAGCGCCACATCGGGGACTCGAACTGTGTTAGTAATTAATTGCTCCCAGTGTGCAGATAACGAAACTGAGGCACAGAGCAGTTAAACCACTCAGCCTAGGTCACACAGCAAACAGGGACCCCGAGAGGTAGGCGTCTCAGCCCTTCCTATGACCACTGTTCTCACCCTCCCTTCCTCTGCCAGGCCGTGTCCCCTGCCTGCCATGCTTCTGAATCAGGCACGTTCTTCAGAGCCCAGTATGAGAGTGACCTCCTCCATGAAGCGCCCCTGCAATGCAGCCAGTGATGCTCCTCCTCCACCCTGGGCTCCCCTAGGTGTGCTTCCCTAGGGTAGCCTCAGTTCCAGGTGCTCTCTGTCCCAGTTGGGCCCCTCCATGGTCCCAGGCTGTTGGCCACCCTCCTGGGAGTCTCTCCAGCTGCTGTTTGCTCGTCTCTTGGTCTCCGGGAGCCAGAGATAAGCAGCTGAGGGGGCTGTTGACCCCGTCCAGATAACGTGGGTCCATTTGCTCTGCTTAACCCTTCCTGGTTGACGCCCAAAGAACTCAAGGGAGGGGAGGAGGCTGCGGGGAAGAGCCAGGAGATAGGGGAACAATGGAGGCCGAGGCCACACCTGCTGGGACTCTGTAGGGTAGGCTCCCGGGCAGGCATGCTTAGGCTTTGGGCTCCGCCTTCTTGGGCCTTGTAGTTGGGGAAATGGGGAATTTCCAGTGAGGCCCTGGGAGCAGGGGTCTGTGTTTGTCCAGGCTGCAGAGAGGGCACTGCGAACTCAGCTGGCAGGTGTGTGCACCTGCCTGCCACACACCCAGCCTCCCATCCCAGCTGGTCCTCTCCCGGGTGGGCCCCTTTGCCTCCCTGTATGTAGCTTTGGCAGCTGAGGGTCCCTGTATCTATTGCCAGGATGACTCTAACACCCGACCTCAGGGTCTCACCTCCATCAGCTCTTCACTCTGGCCTTGAAGCCCGGTGATGGAGACGTGGAGTCCAGCCTTGGGGTGGCAAAGGGGGTGCTTTATTCTGGAGCTGGGCAGGAGCCTGGGGAGGGAGTCCAGGGTCAGGCTGCTGATGCTTCCGGGACACCAGCCTGGACAAGAGCCTGGTCAGAGTCAATGCCTGGCACCTGCAAAGGACAGCCTGGTCCACCCACCGACAGGGGAGGGCCGGCCCAGGCTGACTGTGACTCAGTCCTTCTGGCTGTTGTAACAGCGTGCTAGAGGCTGGGCGATCGCTCCTGGTGGGCATTTCTCTCTCACAGTTCTGGAGGCTGGGAAGTCCCAGCTCAAGGGCTGAGCAGATTCAGCATCTGGGGAGGGCCTGCTTCCTAGCCGGCTGGCTCTCACTTTAACCTTCCATGTAGAGGGGTCTCTCTTGGGTGGGCACTTCATGAGGGCACCGTCCCCAGACCTAATCATCAAAGGCCCCAGCTCCCGATACTGTCACTTTGGGGGGTTATATTTCCTCTCATTTTTTTTTTTAAAGAGATTTTTGCTATAGGGCATGTGCATGCACCAGAGAGACAGAGAGAGACAGAGAGACAAAAAAGCAAGAAATCACTTCCCCTCATGGGGACATGGCCATGCAACAAGACCTTCTCTTCCCTTGTCCTCTCAGGATCCTGGGCACATACGCACATGTACCGGGCATGAGTTTTAAGCCACCTGATCTGGGACTCGAGCCATGGTTGACTACGTGGGAGTCTAGCGATGCAGCCATTATGCCATCTGCTGGTTCCGGGAGCTCGTGTTTCAGCATGTAAATTTTGGGGAACACAAACATTCAGATCATAGCACTTTGTATCCCAAGCACGTGTGTGGTTATGTGTGCACCTGTGCACTTGCATACTTGTGTATATGTGTGTTGGTATGTTGTATATATGCTCGTGTGTTTATGAGGGGCTGCACGTAATAATAGAGGACTATTTGATTCCCCCACAGGGTGCAGGGCTTCCTACTTTCGCACCTGGGACTTTCAAGCTAACCAATAGCCGGACGTCAAACTCAGATGTCCACGTGTTGGTTTCCATGCCCAAGGTCACCTCATGGTCCTAGAGAGCTGCTGCAGAGGCAGCCATTGCATCCTCATTCCAGGCAGCAGGAAGGGATGAAGAAAGGCACACCGTTTTCTCCTTAGGGACATTTCTTGTAATTGACACACGCGACTTCCATTCATAACCCTTTGATCAAAACTTAGTCATGCACCATAGCTAGCTGCGAGGGAGGCTGGGAAATGGAACTTTAAACAGGCAGCTGTGTGCACAGCTACCAGCAGAGGTTCAATCATAATAGGAAGACAAGAATAGATATTGAGGATGACAAGAAGTCTTTTTTTTTTTTTTAAGAGGTTTTTGCTATAGGGCGCATGCGCTCGCCAGACAGAAAGTGAGAAATCACCCCCCAGCGGGGATGGCCACGCTGCAATCCCTTCGCCTCCATTCTCCTCTCGGGATCTTGGGCACGCACGCACACGTGCCCGGCGTGAGTTTAAGCCACCGGGTCCAGGACTCAAACCACAGTCGACTACGTGGGAGTCCAGCGACATAGCCATTACACTAACTGCTGGTCCCCAAGAAACAATTCTTAAAAAAAAAAAAAAAAAAATGGCAGGTGGTGTGGTGGTTATGGCTCTGGACTCCCACTTGACCAACCCCAGTTTGAATCCTGGACCTGGCGGATTGCTTTCTCATTTTCCTTCTCTCTCTCTCTGGTTGAATTAAAAAGTCATAAATAAAAAACTATTTAAAAAATATTTTATTTAACTTTATTTCTTTATTACTTTTCATTTTGATCACAGAGAGAGAGAGACAGGGAAAGCAAGCTACCAGGTCCAGGACTTGAACTGCAGTCGACCATGTGGGAGTCCAGCACCCTTAACCACCACACCACCTGCCAACCCCAATAAAAAATTCTTAAAAAAAAAGAAAAGAAATGCACAGGGTCTCACCCTCCAAGGAGTGCCCCCAGCTCATGACTGGCAGGCACAGGGATGGGAATATGAGGTCCTTTGTCTCAGGCGGGGCCCTCCAGGGCCTGGCCTTCACCCGGTCTCTGTTCTCCCCGAGCCTCCTGCTGCCAGCCTCCCTTATACATCCCACACCAAGAACCTTGCTCCCCGGCTCTGCCAGCCTAAATGGACCCTCTCCCTTCTCTCCTATCCCACCGGCTCCTCTTTTCTCCCGTGTTTGTGCATTTTAAACTCCACCAAAAATGTCACGGGCAGGTTTCTCCCTTTACTTCCAAACTCCCTGATAAATTCCACTGGCTGGGCAACCCCAGGAGAGGTTTTCTGGAACCAAGAACCCCATAAATCACCCCACTGCCACTCCGGCGTGGGCAATATCTTATGTAAAAAGGTGTTTCCTGGGAGCGCCACAGGCAGGAGAATCCTATTACAAGCCGCCCCATTAATTATAAAGAGTCAAGTCGACCCTTTCCTGCGATTTTTTATCTTAAGTCCGAAAACTGATTACCTTCACCAATCCTTCTCTTTCCAAAAAGATCTAAAGAATAAAATAAACGTTTGAAGAACAAATACCCAACTTTCTCCTTTTTTAGAAAACCAACAGAAGAGAAGTGGGTGGGAAAGGGCCTTTTTTTCCTTTTAATATAAAAGAGAGTGAGTGCTAGGGGCTGGCGGGTGGAGACGCCCACATGGCGAAGGCAGTTTGACTCCTGGACCTGGCGGTTGCTTTCTTGCTTTTTCTCTCTTGGGCTTGCTCCTGCTCTGTCCCTCTCTGATCAAATTAAAATAAATGAAGTTAAATAATTTTCTTTTGGAGAGGTTTTTGCTATAGGGCACGTGCGCTTGCCAGAAAGACAGAGAGAGACAGAGAGACAGAAAGTGAGAAATCACCCCCCGGGGGAATGGCCACACCGCAGTCCCTTCTCCTCTATTCTCCTCTCGGGATCTTGGGCACACACACGCACACGCACCCAGTGTGAGTTTAAGCCACCAGGTCCGGGACTCAAACTGCGGTCATCTACATGGGAGTCCAGCGACATAGCCATTACGCTAACTGCTGGTCCCCAAAATAATTCTTTTTTTTAAAAAAATATGAGTCCTAGGTCCACAAGTGACTCTTTGACTCCCGGCCCTGGCAAGTGGGCTTTATAATCGGTCCCATTTGGCAGATTGAGATATACCTGGTTACGTGGCTTGACCAATTCTTCTGAGGCAATGAGGTGGGCAGGAAATGGGCTTCCTGGGTATTTGTCCCTGGTTCAAATCCCACTTCTAGCTGAGTGGGCGACTTAACTTTTCTGTGCCTCAATTTCTTCTTCTGCACAATGGGGAACAAAAGCATCCCTTGGGCCAAGCTGCTGGGTTTGGGGCTCAAACTGCGGTCAACCACGTGGGAATCCAGCACCTTCACCACTATGCCACATGCTGGTCCCAAATTGTTCTGTATCTTTTTTTTTTTTTAAGATTTATTTAATTTTATTTATTCGTTCATTTATTTTAATTTGACCAAAGAAAGACAGACACACAGAGAGAAGGAAAGTGAGAAAGCAAGCCTCCAGGTCTGGGACTCGAACCATAGTCAGCCGTGTGGGAATGTCCAGTGTCTTAACCACCACGCCACCTGCTGCCGCCTGTTCTTTATCGTAATTGCTGAGTTGGCGTAGCGGAAATGGAACTAGACCCACATTTTAAGGGCCTGAGGTGGTGGTTTTTTTTTTTTTTTTTTAAATTTTATTTGTTATTATTCTTCACTTTGATGAGAGAGAGAGAGAGAGACAGAGACAGAGACAGAGAGACAGAGAGAGAGGCAGGAAGAGTGAGAAAGCAAGCTGCCAGGCCTGGAACTCAAATTGTGGTCAGCCATGTAGGAGTCCAGTGCCTTAACCACCACGCCACCTTCTGGCCCCGAGGGCCCAAGTTTACACTCTGGGAACTCCCCCAGCAAACCAGATATGTGAGTCTGAGCTCCAGGCTCACTGAGATGGGGTGAAGAGAAGTACGCAGACCCCTGCTGGGGGTACATCTCTCTCTCTCTCTTTCTCTTGCTCTCTCTCTCATGGGAGAAAAAAAAGTGAATACACTTCAGGGGCCAGCAGGTGGCATAGCGGTTATGTTGCTGGATTCCCACATGTCCGACCGTGGTTCAGGTCCCGGACCCGATGGCTTGACAATCACACCAGGCATGTGTGCATATGTGCTCAAGATCCCAGGAGGAGAATGGAAGAGAAGGGGTTGTGTGTGACCATCCCCCCTAGGGGGTGATTTTCACTTTCCCTCTCACTGTCTCTGTTTCTCTCTCCAGCGAGTGCTTATGCCCTATGGCAAAAATAAATAATTTAAAAAGAGAATAATCCTTTAAAAAATCAAAAACGATGGGGCCAGCAGGTGGCATGGTAGTTTTTAAGTGCTGGATTCCCACATGGCCAACCGCAGTTTGAGTCCCAAACTGGGTGACTTGAAAGCCATGCCAGGAAGGGCCAGCAGGTGACATAGTGGTTAAGGGTACTGGACTTCATTCTGCATGGTCGACCATGGTTCGTGTCCCGGACCTGGTGGCTTGCTTTCTCAATCTCCCTTTCTCTCTCATTCTGTCCCTCTCTGGTCAAATGAAAATAAATAAATAGATAAATAAAGTCAAATAAAATTATTAGGAAAAAAGAAAGAAGACCATGTAAGGCATGTGCGTGCGTGCCCAAGATCCTAAGAAGAGAATGGAGGAGAAGGGATTGCAGCTTGGCCATGCGCCCTGGGGGGTGATTTCTCTCTGTCTCTCTAACTAAAAATGAAATGAAATCAAATAAAATGAATGCCAACAATTCATGAGGAATAAAATAACAACCTCAATAAAGACAGACCCTCATCTCGTATTGGATGACCCGTCTCATCCACTTCATTCCGATCAGAACTTTATCTAAAAGGCTGACATTTGGTTCATTGTGATTTGTTTATTTATTTAAAGTTTCTTTTTTCTTTCGAGAGATTTTTGCTATAGGGTACGTGCACTTGCCAGAGAGACAGAGAGAGAGACAGAGAGACAGCAAGACCCTTCACCCCCGCCCGGGGGTTGGTGATGCCGCAAACCCTTCTCCGCTCTCCTCTTGGAATTTTTTTTTTTTTTTTTTTTTTTTTTT